GGGGGGGGGGGGGCGCCCGTCCTGCGGCCGCATGCTGATCCCCATGCGACTACGCCCATGGGCATGTTTGGTCTGGGTTTGCGTTGCGCGCGCACTAGTCCAGGCGCGCGGCGTCCCGCATGGATTTGCACGTATGTATTGAGACGGAGTCTTACGCCTTAAGGCGGGCGGGCTTGCCCGACACGCGTCGCGTGGAAAAGAGAAAAAGACCACCGCAGCTTGGCGGCCGCGTAGCCGACCCTCCCATCGGACGGTCTGGGCCATGGACGAGCTGTCGCCCTTCCTCGCGCACGAGCGTGCCGATGTCCGCGCGCAGGCCGCCGAGGCGGTCGCCGCCTACTCATCCACCGACGACGGCGTCGCCGCGCTCGTCGCCGCTGCGGATGCTCTCCTCCCCGGGCTGGTCTCGCTGCTGGGCCGTGCCGAGGCAGAGGCCGCGGGCCACGCCGCCGCCGCCCTCGTCAACATCTGCTCGTCGGCCGACGGCTCAGCGGCCGCGGTCGGCGCAGGCGTATTCGAGGCGGCGGTCGCGCAGCTCGACTCGGGCTCGGCGGAGGTCCGCGAGCGGTGCACGATGCTCCTCGCAAACCTGACGAACCCGAGCCTCGTCGACGCCACCCACCTGCTGCGCGGCGGCAGCCTCGACTCGCTCCTCGCCGCGATCTTCACCGCGAGCGCCACCGAGCGGCCCTCGGAGGGCGGAGTCTCCGAGGCGGCCGCACACCACTGCTGCCGCGCCCGTGCCACGCGCATAAAAAGAATTCCCCTCGCGGGACGGAGTGACAGCTGCCTGGTCGCACAGGCGCCGGCGACGCTGGAGCACCTCGTGTCCGCCCTCTGCCACGTCGCCTCCACCGACTCAGGACGAGGTGAGCTGTGAATGAACGAGTACCTGGTGACTTGACATTCACATGAAGTGAGCTAATTCATCAACGAGTACCTGGTTAATTAACGAGGTGAGCTGCTGCGCCATGCGCGTGCGCTGCCACTGCTGCAGGCGCTAGACTCGCTAGATCTCCGCACATCTCGCCACATCTATCTCCCCACATCTCGCCACATCTCCCCACATCTCGCCACATCTCGCCACATCTCCCCCAGGCACTCGTCGCCCTACTCTCGCCCGGCCACCCGCTGCTCCCCGCCGCCGCCCGCACGCTCCGCAACCTCGGCTTCAGCGCGGCGCCGGGGGCCGGCGGGCGGGCGGCGCTGGAGGCGCTGCTGCGCAAGGAGGGGGAGTGGCTTGTGTCGGCGCTGGCGGCGCCTCTCGCGCCGCACGAGACGGGCGAGACGTGGGGAGATATGGGGAGATATGGGGAGATATGGGGAGATATGGGTCTCTCGCGCCGCACGAGACGGGCGAGACATGGGGAGATACGCGGAGATATTGGGAGATACGCGGAGAGATGGGCCCGGTGCGAGCGGCGTCTCTTCACACCTGCAGCCGTGAACAGGCGAGAAGACGAGCGGGTGTTTGTACGAGGCAGAGGAGCGTGCGGCGTTCGCGCCTCCGCTACGCGCGGCGCTGGAGGCTGCCGAGGCGAGGCGGCACACAGCACGCTCACACACACGCTCACACACACGCACACACGCACGCGCGCACACACACACACACACACACACACACACACACACACACACACACACACACACACACACACACACACACACACACACACACACACACACACACACACACACACACACACACACACACACACACACACACACACCGCTCACCCACGCGCACCGGGCCTTGCACTTCCAATGCCGTGCCGGCTCCTGTCGTCTAGACGTGGAGTCGCGAGGGACTAGCCTGGCCCTTGCCCCGCCACCTCGTGTGTGTGGAGAAGTTCACCTCACCTTCCCCTACCTTAGGCGAGGCGGGCGGCGATGCCCCTTGCCGACGCGATCGCAGCCATCGACAGCAGCGGCTTTAATTAGCAGTTCATTAGTAGTTAATTAACAACTAATTAGGCGATCGCAGCCATCGACAGCAGCGGCGGCGCCGAGGCGAGGCTGGCGTTGACGGAGGCGCTGCTGCTCTTGTCGGCAAGCCCCCCCCCCTCCCCCCCCCCAACACACACACACACACACACACACACACACACACACACACACACGCACGCACGCACGCACGCACGCACGCACGCACGCACGCACGCACGCACGCACGCACGCACGCACGCACGCACGCACGCACGCACGCACGCAGCCACAATGACTTAGAGGGAGGAGAGGCGATGTGGTGGCGAGCGAGATCTGGGGAGAGATGGGGTCTGTCTCCCTTCTCTAGGCGAGCGAGGACGCGTGCGCAGCCATATCTCCCCATATCTCCCCATATCTCCCCACATCTCCCTTCTCTAGGCGAGCGAGGACGCGTGCGCAGCCATGCGCAGTGCAGGCGTGTCTCCCTTTAGAAGTGGAACGAGAGAAGGCACTCCCACCCCGACATCGGGTTCATCTCCCCACATCTCCCCACATCTCCCCACATCTCCCCACCTCTCCCCACCTCTCCCCACCTCTCCCCACCTCTCCCCACCTCTCCCCACCTCTCCCCACCTCTCCCCACCTCTCCCCACCTCTCCCCACCTCTCCCCACCTCTCCCCACATCTACCCACATCTACCCACATCTACCCACATCTACCCACATCTACCCACATCTCCCCACCTCTCCCCACCTCTCCCCACCTCTCCCCCCATCTCCCCACATCTCCCCACATCTCCCCACATCTCCCCACATCTCCCCTCGGTGTGTTCATGAGCGCAGGCCTCTCGCTCCGCGCTTCTCCCGCCATATCTCCCCACATCTCCCCAAACCTCCGCCATTCTCCCCACACCTCCGCAGGCGTGCCCCCCGTGCTCCGCGAGTCGCGCTTAATTCACTAAGTAATTCGTCACTAATTAATTAATTGAGGCGTGTTCCCCGTGCTCCGCGAGTCGCGCTCGCTGCTGCTGCTGTCGGAGGACGAGACGCACAGGCCTCGAGATATGGGGAGATACTGGAGGGGGGGAGATGTTGATCTGCGCCGCGTCTATGCGTGTCGCACAGCCCTGCCGTCGAGGCAGATCTCCACACATCCACACATCTCGCCGATCTCCCCACATCTCCCCAGATCTCCCCAGATCTCCCCGCACAACCCTGCCGTCGAGGCAGATCTCCCGAGATCTCGCCACATCTCGCCACATCTCCCCAGATCTCCCCAGATCTCCCCGCACAACCCTGCCGTCGAGGCAGATCTCCCGAGATCTCGCCACATCTCGCCACATCTCCCCAGATCTCCCCGCACAACCCTGCCGTCGAGGCAGATCTCCCCACATCTCCCCACATCTCGCCACATCTCCCCAGATCTCCCCGCACAACCCTGCCGTCGAGGCAGATCTCCCCACATCTCCCCACATCTCGCCACATCTCCCCAGATCTCCCCGCACATCCCTGCCGTCGAGGCATATCTCCCCAGATCTCCACACATCTCGCCACATCTCCCCAGATCTCCCCGCACAGGCCCGTCGTCGAGGCATATCTCCCCAGATCTCGCCACATCTCGACACATCTCCCCGCACAGGCCCGTCGTCGAGGCAAACGAGCGGCTCGTGTCCGCCTTCCACCTGCAGGCGGGAGAGATGGGGAGAGATGGGAAAATGTGGGGAGAGATGGGAAAATGTGGGGAGAGATGGGGAAATGTGGGGAGATATGGGCCGAGTACGGCAAGCACAACCTGCAGGCGGGAGATATAGGGAGATATGAGGAGATATGGGGAGATATGGGGAGATATGGGCCGAGTACGGCAGGCAAAACTTGCAGGCGGGAGATATAGGGAGATATGAGGAGATATGGGGAGATATGGGGAGATATGGGCCGAGTACGGCAAGCACAACCTGCAGGCGACACGGAAGACGTGCCTAGGAAGCGCCGAGGAAGAGTCTAGGAAGTGTCTAGGAAGAGTCGAGGAGGAGTCGAGGAAGTGTCTAGGACTAGGAAGTGTCGAGGAAGTGTCGAGGAAGTGTCCTGCAGGCGGGAGGGACGACGCACGCGCCGCGGCCTTCGGCGCCGCGCGGCCAGTTTGTGAGGGAGCCTGTGAACGGCGTCTCTTCACACCTCCAGCTGTGAACAGGCGCCGCGCGGCCAGTTTGTGTGGGAGAAGGAGGACGCGGCGAGGGAGGCCGCAGCGGCGGCGGGGGCGGCGACCGAGGCGGCGGAGGCGACGGCGGCGGCGGCGGCGAGGGCGGCGAGGGCGAAGGCGGAGGCGGAGGCGGAGGCGGAGGCGGAGGCGGAGGCGGCACGTGTTGCGCTGAGTCGCGCCGCGCTGCGTGAGGCGGCGGAGCCCGCGGCGGCGGGCGAGGAGGTGGACGACTGAGGAGGTGGAGAGGAGAGGAGTGTGGAGATCGAGATGTTTCGTGGGAGTCGCTGGGGTGTTGCGTGTTGCCGCATGCCGGAGGCGGAGACCCGGAGTCGGCAGCGTCCAGCGACGAGCGAGCACAACACGGGGGACAGGGGACAGCGGTCAGCGCCCACTTTTTTTCTCTCGTTCTCGTGTGTCTCGTGACTTTCGTCGACTCAGTTTTTGTGTTTTGGCGGATGGCGCGACCGCGAGGCGCGAGGGCAACGACCAATACGTCCAAAGACGTTTACACACAAGTGTGAGAGCGAGCTGATAACACCTGACCCTGTACCGTACGGACGGCCCAGACACCTCACGAGACGGCCACGTCTCCCTTGCCCCTCGCGCCTCCCTCCCCGCGCACGCGCGCCATGGGCAATGCACTCAAGGTCTGGGTGACTGCCTGCACACGCGGCCGCGGTAAAGCCGTATGTGTGACGCTCTCTGCCGTGCTCGCACGGCGGTCCCGCCAGACCCTGCGCCCTTGCCGCCCGGCCGGGGCTGGAGAGGCTCATTCGAGGTAGATGCCGCGCTCCTTGCACACGGCCACCAGCTCAGGCCTCTTGTTCTCGTAGTCCACGTAGAGCGTCTGCACGCGAGGGGAGGTGCGATGAGCATTGGGCGGGGGAGGGGCGTGTGGCGAGGGGGGCGTCTCGCGCCTTCAAGCTCGGGGCGGCCCCCTCCTTGAGGGCGGCTGCCAGCGCCTTGCAGCCCTCGTCGCCAATCTTGTTGCTGTGGAGATAGAGATACTCGAGCCGCGGCGCTGCCCCCTCCTTGCCGAGGGCGGCGGCCAGCGCCTTGGAGCCCTCGTCGCCAATCTTGTTGCCGTTGAGAGCGAGGTACTCGAGCCGCGGCGCTGCCCCCTCCTTGCCGAGGGCGGCGGCCAGCGCCTTGGAGCCCTCGTCGCCAATCTTGTTGCCGTTGAGAGTGAGGTACTCGAGCCGCGGCGCTGCCCCCTCCTTGAGGGCGGCGGCCAGCGCCTTCCAGCCCTCGTCGCCAATGTTGTTGCCGTGGAGAACGAGCGTCTCGAGCCGCGGCGCTGCCCCGCTCGCGAGGACCTCCGCCAGCTGCGCCGCCTCCGCGTCGCCCCAGCCGAGGTCGGCGTAGAGCAGCTCGGTCGCCTTGCCAAACTGCTCCTCGGACGACTTTCGCATGGCCTGTTTTAA